TTACAAGCTGGTTCAAAATTAAACTTTGCTCTCTGACGTCCTAAAAATCGGGAATTTGGCGCAAACATTAGTATAAATTAGCGCGCTTCAAATGACACTAAGCACTATCTAATCAGATGCCGTTTTCTGCAACTTAATTTTAATTAGTTAAAGGGAATTATATAATGCTTACCTAATTCAAGCGCCAAGGTCTGCGTTATCTACGTAAACTATGGCGTCCTTGAAACTTTACCCTGATCAGGATCACCTAATATTTCGAACAGAAAATCGGCGAATAACTCATAAATATGTATATGTCGTAGTCTTTTAGTGAAATCCGTCATTTCACGAAACGCCTAGTCCGAGGCCTAGTCATTTAGTGAAACGCTGAAAATTTGTACGTGTGGGGTAATTTCCCTTCCCCTTCTAGATCGATAAGGATACCATTTATCGATTTCCAATGGGAACGGAATCCCATCGCTTGGCCCTGGAAAGTACACTGTGCCACAGTTTCATATAAATGACTAGGCTTTTCGTGAAATGCAAATGACGGATTTCATTAAAAGACTACGACATACCTATATAAATATAGCAAAAGAGCTCCTGGGTATGAGATGTCAAAAGAGCCTTCTTCATCTTTTTACCTACATTGCCAATTCACGAACTCCGTAGTACAAATTTGGTAAAGAACCCACCTGCAAAATTTCATCATAATCGGTCAATTCGTTTTCAAGATATCGTGCTAATGGACAGACTGATAGACACCGAAAAATTATGAACTCGCTAGGAGCTCGTTCATAAACGGAACTGAAATCATAAAATATTAATTTGCCCTCATCTTACAAATGACGAGAGATTTCGGACGTTTAAATTTCCGCACAACCAATTAAGCATTTAATTCTGCACTCCATTGCCAACTCCTGAAAGATAAATAAATAGATACAGAAGTCTTTGGTTTGGGTTCATTTATCATTAATAAAAAATACACCAATTTCTTCGTGGGATAAATTCCCGTGAGTCGACGTCTTCAGGAATGTTAGAATGACTTTAAACATAAATCTTTTATACAAAATCCCAAAAAAATCGACGATGGTAAAACGCCTTGTACTATACAATCGGCGAGCTAAACTTTGGTTACTCATTGAAAGTGAATCTCGAAAAATGATTGACGAATTTAAATCCGAAACAAACCGTACTTCAGGTGTCTCGCAATTTATTAGCTTGAAATTTGGTTTATTTACTGGAATAATTTACCAATGTTCAGCAGTATGGAAAGTTTTGACAGCCAACAAAAGCACGAATTAATTGTCTTTAATCTTGTCACCGGCTGCCGTTTAATGCACATAGATCTAATAACACCCCGTATACACAAGAGAACTGCACAGTTTTGATTGACAAGTTTTTTAACGTAACTAGGCACTCCAAATATAGCGCAATGAACTTTTTGCACCTTGTACCTTAACACTTTCGTGGTAACAATGTGTTTAAATGAGAGGACGTTAATCGCAAAACGAATTTGTTCGCTTCTGCTTGAGGTAAACCTTCGGTACTGTTAAAATTTATATCAGTCGGCCGGTCGACTCCGCTACGCAATTAAGTTCCTATTTTTTTATAAAACCACCCATTTATTATTACATTACCTATAATGGCAACTCGTCACGAATTTAAAATGCACTCCCGACAATAACTTCTTCGAAATTGGTTGCACAATTTTCCGGTTGTGCCGCTAAGGATTCTAAAAATCTCTGGGAATAACATAGGATTTTGAAAACATGTTAATCGCGTTTCAGAGTGTGTGTTTTAGAGCATTTCAAGCTTTTTAGAAGCATCATAGGCCTTTCCCAAAATATTCTAGAGCTTTTCACTTTTATAAGTGTCTGAGGTCATTTCCTGACCTTTATATGACAACGAAATCTATAGCGCTATTAAGGGATGTGCAATATATTGTTTTCAACCCTTGTGAGTTGACTGATTTTCTAGTCACTGCATCGCATTTTAGGTTCTTTACAATCTCTTTTTAGAAACATTCTAGGGTCTTTTTAGAACTGTAAACGCTTAGCTAGTACCGAGAAGGGCGGGGTTTCAGCCAACGCCAAATAAAATTCTACAAATGGTCTAAGGACTAGTTAAAGACTTTTTCTCGTGCGCCCTTTAAATACAGTAAACTAAGTCCTCTTTAGGGCTTTTTCGGGTTTTCAGTGTTACGGCGCTTTTTAGTATCGCTCAGTAGTTTCTAGACCCGCCTATTTGAAGAAAGTGTTCAGACGGCTCCTCGAGAAAGGCTCTTAGGATCTCTAAAGGAAGAGACTAAATAGGTTCTGGAAAGTGATAAAGGTCCATGAAAATTCATTTTGGACTTTCATTATGGAGTCTTTCTTTTAAATGTGAACTACTGAAGCCAAGCACACACAAAACAAAATGAACTTGAGCTAAAAATTGTTATTATGCCAATTCATGGCAATTGAAATACAGTAGACTAACCAAATTTTTACAATACATTTAATTCGCGTCTCATCGATCTCCATAGAAGTTGTCTTGATTAAAAATTCCTCTAGGTCGGGGCTCGTATTTGTGGTATATGAAGTTACAGTAATTGGTAAAATATGTAGATGAATTTTTCTTAGGACCCTCCCAGCTTGATTAGATTTCTGTACTGGTTTAGTACGGTTTCAGTTTTCCAGATGTCAAGGTGCGTTTTGTTAATAAGAGTTCGCCAGCTTCTATTTTTAATTTACGCATTTGTGAAAATTAATTAATTTTCCGTTGCTAGCATAAAAATGCAACGTGAAACTGGATGTGGTTCGTTCATAAGTTCGTATGGCTTGATGTCATCTCTCAAAGTCGCCAAAAACACGCATATGCTAACAAAAGCACAACAAAAACACGTGCAAACTTTACACAAAAAAATTGATTTTAGTTTCTAAAAACGCACAGAAATGTGAAAAGCAGGTATGCAACAAGTTAAAAAGCGAAAGATTGATGACAGCTGATGTCGGGTAGTGATTTTTGCAATGTTTACGTATACGTTTTTAGTTACAACTGACAAACACAGGGACCAGAACAATTAATGAACGCCCGTTACTGATAACTAGTCCACTCATCCATTTCCTTAATGAAAATTTAATTACATGATTTATTTATGTACAATTAAGTATGAATGAATTTATAAGAATTATTAAATAGATCTATTTATAACATGTAAATTTATAACACACTAGCTCGAATTTCACGATCATTTCGACATAGATCATGAGACTTCAACTAAGCATGATTCAAGCAAATAAAAACTCTAGAGCATTCTCGAATAAACATCACATTTCTCTGGAAAAAATCATCACATTCGTTTTAATTTCTTATCGACCTGATGGCGCCTCGATGGCGCTATAAAAGTTCGCTACAATAGTTAAACCATTAAAGCTGGTCAAGCCACATAGCTTGCTGTGCTTTTGTTCAATTTTGTTTTATACTTCTATTTACCAAAGTTAAATATCTAAACAGCAATGTAATTATAATAATGGGTTAGGCTTAAAAATCAAGCCTTGCTCGTTAATCGTTATGTAGCAATTTTGAAAGCAAACCATTTTAGTTTAGAGTAAAAATTGAATAAAATATCCAGCGTTCTTTCGTTCGTTCATTCATGCATACCTACCTAATTCTGTCCATTAAGTATTAAGTTATTTGTATCTTCGCGATCTGGTACGAAATACATCGTAATCACGTCCTTGGATTTTATTCGTAACCGCATCTTTAACTAATTTTATTCTACCTTTTTTGAGTTTATACGCTCGGTAAATCTCACCGCTAATATTGCCGAATCTGCGTATTGTCTCTACTGAGAGGTTCCCTAAAATTTTCAACTCTTCCATAATGTGAGGAGTTTTGGTGAAGAGATCAAACAAACATTATTCTCTACACTCTATATTGTCACCAAGCTTCTGATCTCTTTCGATAATCGCTTTCATCTCGCTTTCCTTTCCCTATTTCTTGCTAGTACTAAGTAGGCCGCTTAGCGCGATTTGAGTCAATTTTATGAGGGACCGGTGGGTCCTCCTCCTACCTAAATATACTTATGGTTATCGTGTTGTCCAGCACCTTTGACTTCAGGTATATTGAGGAATTAGTAAAAAAAAGGGCAAGATGCAGAAAGAGGTACCAACAATGCATTGAGGTCAATACCGGGAGGTACTGTCCGACCTACAAGATAAGAATAATTTTGCAATTCGAATTAATATAAATATTTAAATAAGTCAGCCTTTCCTAAATGTAGAACGAATTAAAAGGTTTGATAATGAAGAACAATGATTAAATATAGGTCTTTGAGTCAATGAGTATACTTTAAGTCACTTCTGACTGTCCTCATTAGTTGTGCTTATGGTTTTGATAAATGTAATGCTTTCTGGTCTATTTAAAGTGAGAGCTTTTTTCTTTTAACGTAATAGTGACCTTAAATGTTTTCGAATAATTTTGCAACTCATTTGTCAAGGACTCTAATAAATGGTTATGGATGCAAATGTCACCGTGAACAAAGCCGGCAACAACATTCTTCCTCCTTTCTCGCAGTCTAAAATATCTTTTGGGTCCTCAACAATGGTGACAAATATTACATAAAAATGTGCAAATTAGCTGCAGTCATTACTAAGAAAGTCTGTTTAATCCTAATTTGTGTCAAAGAAGACGTTGTAAATGCCCTACCTGCAGCATTGTAGAAAAGGTTAATGTATGAGTATGACATTAGGTGTAATTTAATGCATCATAATGTAACTAAACTTTCACTATTTTTAACCCGTGTACATTACCGTTGAGAATCGCAAAGTGTCGGTGGATTAAGCGATGGTACGCAAAGAAAACGTACCAAATTAAGTAGAAAACCGCACGAGTAGATTTAAAAAGAGTTAGTTGAAGGTCGATAAATCTTCTTGCAAGAAGGGGATTGGCATAGAGTTTCGCAAGTTCGTGAGGAAAGTTAATTAGGACTTAGACGTGTAGAGATTTAAAAATAATCGTGATTTTGATTGTTTCAGTATCTTCTTGGGGTTCGCTTTATTAGTGCTGTCAAACGCAGCACCAGCGGACGATTATGATTACGCCGATGGTGCAGCGGCTCCTCCACCGAAACCGGCTGCACGCAATCCACTTTTAAATCGGCGAAATCATTTAAATCGGCAAGCGGCACCAAAAACGTCGACAACTACGACAGCTGCGCCCGAAGTTGCCGTATGTTGAAAATTTGTCATAACCTCTGGCGATATAACGTTTCGCACTTGCAGGAAGAAGAAGAAATACCCGAAGACGAACTGGTTGAAGAAGAAGTGCAGCCAGAAACCAGTTCCACGACAGAATCCGGCAGAAGGCTGAAAGGAGGAATCTTACGCCCATTCCGAAGCAACCATGATCTACTGGAAACTCTGAAAAAAAGACGGGAACAGGCCATTATTAGTAAGTACCATATGAAAACCGTGGATAGTCTTACAAACATGTCCATCTTCAGATAAGGCGAACTCAAAAACAGCCGCCTCTGATGTGAACGATTCGGAATCGGTCGGCTCAGAACCGGAGAAGCCGGCGTCTAAACCAGCGCGCACGTCGTCGTCATCGAGAGGGCGTTATAGTAAAAAGGAGACCAACGCCGTAGTAAATGAGGAGGAATCGCCTTCAACAGCGGCACCAAGAAATTCGGGAAGGAGATTTAGGAACTAAACGAAATTTTTACCAAATAACGAATTTATTCGAACAAAATGAGACCTGATGGAGTGAAAGCTTTCGATTTAAATTTTACCACTATACAGATTCCCTAACCGATCCTGGAAATTAATCAATGTATTTATTATTTATGATTTATTCAAGTTATTGTTGTATAATTTTAAGCTCTTATAGCATCGATTGCATTCGCCTCAAGGGACATTGTAATTTTATACGATTCGGATAATCAGATGTATTATAATAGAAACGTATCTTAGTAAACGTCATTTCCTGTTAATGTCTTTGACACGGTACTGGATTACTAATGGCAGTCTGATTGGATGTGGCATTGGATCTTTTTGCTATAATTTCTAATTTATGGAACAAGTTGAAAATGTGATGGTGAAATATGTGTTTTTTGTTCTAATGGTAGGTATTGCCTAACCACTCTGGTTTTTCCTGGAAATCATTGCAGATAGTTATTTACCACATACCGCTCCACTCCTATATAATTTATCGATGCTATTACTTTTCATAACGTGTTACTAAGAAATGTCACAGTTTGGCGGTAGCCAACGTTATAATGAAGAGGAGATGCAGGAATTCGTCTATCACTCGGTTGGCATGAGATGTTCCGTTTTGCCTGCCTGCACTTTGGACGTTTTGACATAATGGGAAACGATCTCTCTGAGGTCACTGAAGGCAATGTGGATGACATGTCAATACTCAAATTTAATGCACGATTTCTCGGAATGACATCTGCAACAAACACCAACAACCCGAGTGCATGTACTATTTGTACCTACGTGCATCCGTATGGTGAAGAACAATTAGCTTAGCTTTTTCACTATAATTATAACGAACGGAATTCCAAGGTTTAAATATTTCTTTATAATAACTTGAGTAGGGATGTTTAATACCATTTGGAAGAGATCATTTCCGATATTTAAAACCCATTCTGCAACAACAGCAACAGGGTCCATTACTGGAATCCTATAACGAAGGTTACAATACAGGGTTGCAAATTCTTGATCGTATTATTAAATGTTAAACTTTACACATGGCTACGTCAAATTTTCGGTAATAAATACACAATGCCAAAATGTTTATATTTTTAGTTTAGAAGACGTCCGTTGCTTAATATTGAACTAATTGGAAAAGTTTTCCTTCTAACCGAGTTCATACACGAATATTTTATACAGTAAATAATCCTTTCAAAAAATTTCAAAAGGGTTAAAAATGATCAGTCCGAGCGTTTAAAGAATATTTCTATTTATAGTTTAAACGTGAACATTCCAAACCTTCCAAATCCTTAAAGCAAATGGTTTGGATTGAATACAAATAGAAACACTTTACCTTAGTTATAAAGCGACTGCCCCGTGAGTCGTCCAAGCTTAGAATACTGGATTACCCTCCGTTAGGTCTCATGACATGGAACAGAAATATGTTGATGCTGATGCCTGACTCGTAGCGATATGGGCTTTATTGATTTCCAGTCCAAAGCAATACTCGAAGTTATGTTATCCAACAGTCAGAGTTAATTTTATTAAAACGCATTAGCTGCGTACAAAGTTCTCTATGGCAGATGATCACTGCTGACGTCAAAGGTCCATTTTATCGTCGAAAGCTGAGTCAGTTTTTAATTCTCTAATTTCCGCTATCCCTCATGATTTAAAAATCCCCTAAAGCGGATTTAAGAAAACGGCCTCGGTAGGATCCTACGGGGTCATTGGGTTTGACATTTGACCAATTTTCAATAGGCTTGTTACATGTGGTATATAGGTCAATTGTGCAAAGTTTGAACCGAATCGGCCCAAACGTTTGGCAGTTATCGTGTTCAGGGGCAGACGAAAAGATGGACACCCTCGACTCTCCTATAAAGCTTGGATCGCCTGGATCTACTTCATATTTAGCACCTCGCCCGTTTGTTATTATTTCCAATGAAAGTTTCCCTTTGTAAACCACAAAAAATTTTCTATAAATGAAGGTCGCTACTGACTACACACGCGTTTTTCCCAATGGCTTCTACGGCTAGTCGATTTAACTTGCTGGTTCGACTCGAATTCAGGCAACACGTACTAAGCCCACCCTGGATCTCCGACACGAATTATTTGTTATCCGACGCGTATCCTTATCTGCTTGACAGGCACTTCCCCAACTCAGAGCTTCCGTGACTGTGGAATTTTTAAAGCCATTTTGCATCGCGGTCACCCGCATAATGTCCTCCGAAAGCTTCGTATTTAAAGTCACAGTGAACAACTTGGCAACCAGCCGACCAGCGCTTCAGATGTGGATCGTGAGAGAAACATGCATTGGCAACAACGACGTCCCAGGTCCCGCTCGGGTCCATTCAGGAGCAGTTCTACTTCCCGGTAATGACCAGTGTTGATACCACCACAAACCAGACCACAAATTTGGTTCCAAAGCCAAGAACTACAAGGCGCCCTGCTCGTACGGACGAACGCGGGAAACTAGATCGTTCCTCGCCGCGTGTGGCAGTGCGTGACGATCTCTCCTTTTAAAACAATATACAGGGTGAGTCAACGATTGCGCGGAGTAACTTAATGCCTTGAAGACAAGAGTTTTCGATAGAGTACTTTTGTATTATGATATGGTTGAATATTCTCCACATTTTAAAAATATTTGGAATTATACAGGGTGCGCTTACAAAGTAGGTGTAATTGTAGGTACATCTTTTTTATTATATGGTTAATATCCCACAAACTAGTAGTTTTAAAAATAATTCGATTTGTAAGAAAAATTGGGCATTTGCAAGCGTCAGTATATTGTCAAAATTATTACTTAAATTTTGATTCCAGGTTATATGTATGTTTTATCCTGGGTTAAATAAAAGTCCAATAAATACATATACTATGAAACATTAAAAAAATAGCTTACAGGGTATTTTTTTGGTAGGTCCAAAGTTGCAAAACTTCATATTAAAAATCTGACTTTTTTTTAATGGAACACCCTGTATATTTTTTGTCAACTTTTATTCTCCAAAAACCTTCAAATTTTGATAATAATCTCCTATAACTATCTCTGATAGTTTTCGAAATATCTTGATTTTCCTGGTTTTTATATCCTAATCTTAAAATAAGTTAGGTAACTTTAAAACGTCCGCTGTCTATAATTCAACTAATTTTCTCTTTGCAACTTATTCTTTGAAATTTGAGAGCCACAAAAGTGATTTACCGGTTCAAGGCTTAATTTATACAGTACTTATATCCAATTTCTTCCTCATGAAGAAATCACCAAAGAATTTGATTTCTCGAGCTTTAACACAAAATATGTTCCCCGGCTTAACCGAATTTCTGTTCTTGCAATTTAGATGCGGGTGCTATTGGGAGATGAATTTAATTTTTTCGGCAACTTGAAACTGAACTTTCCACCAACAAATGACTGACTTAAACTTCTTTTTCCTTTTCCCGCTTGACACGACCGTGCTCGAGGCTACCATCAGGGCCCTCACCACATTAATTTGTCTCAAAAGAACTCATTCCGTTTTACGAATCACATCCCCAGAAAAACAGTTTGCCAGACACCTCGAACTTTCTTAACCCAACATTTCCACATAATTGTCAAAAATCCGCAATAGATATGGATTTGATTCAGACGGACTTCACATACTTTCTATTAATTTCGTCTTACGGCGTGACAAGCTCGTACTCGGAAACTATTCGCCGAAAAAAACAAAGAATTTAAATGCGTTAGCGGGCTCCCATTACAAAGTTATTTTGTTTGATAATAGAATAATTAATAACAGTTTGTTTACGTGCCGCGAAGTATTTTAATTTATGTGCAATATGTACTATAGCGAATATTCTAGAAATCCCAATAGGAATCGAAACGCCATAAAAGATTAGTCATCGGCGATAAGAAACGAAGACGGATGTATCCTTTCCGGGAAATATTTTCCAAAGATGACCTAAATAATTGTTTGGCAAAAACGGCAGTATCTTCATTGAGCGTATGGGAAAAGTATTCACCAGGCAGGCGCAATGTAGTACCTACGAGTACATGCCATAAACGAGTGCAGAGGAGAGTTAACCAGACACATATGCAGGAGTATGGTCACGAAGAATTATCGGCAGCCCTTCAACCGGCCTTTTGTGCAATGGCATTTTATATTGTCTTTAGTGTCTGATGAAGACGTTGCACGTTTCGCCATGGTGGTAAGGTAATCCACATGGAAGTGATTGAACCGTTTAGACTCTAATTGAAACCGCCGCGCGCCCTCGAGATGACATAGTATGGATATGAATTTTGGATCACTGGCTGTCCAGGCACTGGCAACACTATCGTTTGATTTAGGACGGCATTAGGGTGCAAACACGTTCTTTGGTCCACTCGATTTGTTGTTTCTCTTGACGGGGCTCGTGCTGGGTTTTGGCGGCGTTTTTGATTATTCTTGTGTAGTAATTGAACATCCTTAGGTATATTCTGCGCGGGTCTTGAATAGTCGTTGGTAACGTGAGATTCTTAAGCGTTTCAAGTTTGGTGTCATCGTTTGAGATGGCCATTGACAAAAAGGTGCGCGAATGTACATCGTGAACACTTCATGCCCGCGTCGAAGAGTCCAAAAGGGGCGGTGATGAGGTTTTTTTGAAAATCCGCGCGTTCGACAGGTAGGTATCTGATGGGAAGCGCGCATGAGGTCAAATTTGGAAAATATGTTGCACTAGTCTCTAGGGGCTGCGAAACATATTGAATGTGCGGAAGTGGTTACCGGTCCGGGATTGTTTGTTGCGTTGTTGATGGGGTCTCCATGAACTACCATACTTTTTGGGCACGAGGAGAAGCGAGCTGGCCCAAGGGCATTGCGATGGGCCCAATTTGCACTGGGAACATCTGTGCGAACTCGGCCCGTGCAGTAGCAAGTCTCTGTCTAAAATACAGGCGGCCTGGAAGTGGTGATGCGATGTATCACACCGTTGTTAGCACTCGCGGCGCAGTTACAGGGTGTCAACGATTGCGCTTTTTAGTCAAATGTTTTTACTTATTTACCAGTTTTTGGACTTAAAATGGATTGTTTGAAAAATAAATTAACCGATATGATTTTCATTTGGGACGAGATAGATAAAAATTGCCTTTTTTTGCATGGCCACGTCACTATTATGTAAATTACATATACCTATCGCGAAGATTACCTCTTTGACCTTGAATCGGAAAGTGGACTAAAAATAGACTACAAAACCTCATTTGGTGGGCGGCTTGCCTATTGCGTCCAAATAACTCATTTTCAATCACATTTTTGTCTTCCGACGGATTGAGTAATTTTTGCAATCGCGTGAAATT